AGGAAAGAAATGGGGTAAAGACAGCAAAAATGACATGGTTTTAATTCTCCCACACAAATTGAAACTTCCAACATTTGATGATATGCTTTGCAAAAAAAAATGCAATCAAGCAAACATCTAGTGCAACTCTCCCCGCTAACCTCTGCCCCATTCTGCCCCGTCTTAGCCATGGAGCTTTTCCACAGTACTTTATAGTAAAAGCCTGGTACTATTATAGCATTTGTTATTTATATTTGGATAATTTTAAAATTTCACTGGCATTTCAAGTCTCCTAAGTATCAAATTTTCTGTTTATATTAGCATTCCCTTTCCTTAAACCCCTGTCTTTCAGGCCAAATTCTATGAGGCTTTTCCCAGTCGGCCTGATTACTACCTATTGAAAGGTTAAGTCTCATAGACACAAACCAGCTACTTTCTTTCTTCTTATTATCAAAATATGAACACACTCCAAAACCATCTACCACAGATTTCACAGAAACGGTCACCAATGACAAACTTTTAAAAAGAAAATATTGGTCTATATTAGAATAATTTTATACTCTAAATGGTGCTAGGAAACTGGTGAAAAGTTACGTGATTTCTGCTCCATGTGTTTTATTCATCTCTGGTTATAGAAGTACATTTGTTACTTGTGGTTAGGAAGAGAAGATAAATAGAGTTAACCAATAGGGAAAAGGACTTTGATGACTTCAGTCACTGGAACGCCTCTGCCAGAGTCATTATGAGCTCTAATAATAAATATGTGACTTATACTTTTCCCTTTGTAATTTCCTCAGAAATTATTTACTGTTTTATTCAAGGTTTAGCAAACCTTCTTCTTAATTCAGTCTGCTACATTAAATTAAAAACATTTCAACCAAATTTAGAATCACTCTACATGAAAAGAAAAATATACAACTTTGACACGCTAGTATTTACAAGGAAGAAAAGGTCTTAGAAAGTTATTTTTCTCCATCTTTCATATTAAGTAATTACAACTTTTTGCCAAACTAAATATCTTGTGAAGATCTTTACAAAATAGCTTTGTAATAAGTCACTAATATCATGTTTTACTTTGAAGTGAAAAAGATGATTCAATTTCTTTGTTGGAAAATTATTTTAAAACATCACTTTGTAAGTAGCATTTAATCCAGTAGAATGAAATTCCATATAGAAATCTTCTCTCCTGCTTCTGTTGCTAGATACAGCAAAAGGGCTTCTTTCTAACACAATTCTCCTGGTGCCTACACTTTAGGAAGACTCCAAAGAAGTCCATTTAGTATTTTTGCTGAGAGTCTCAAACAGAAAACAAAGTTATATGTCTTTTGTTTGATTTATAATCATCTATTTCTTATCTAAACACTCATGCATGCTTGAATAATAAGTAGTTGCTGTATGATCTGTCATTTTTAAATAACCTGGGGAAAAAATGAAGAGTATAGGAATAATGGCTAAGGCTGTGAGAGATTAGAATTCTAATTTGCTGAAATGCTGTATGTGGGAACCATGTCTCTTTTGTGCACCATCTCATCCATCCATGGTGCCTGGCAAAGTACTATGCATATGGCAGCCATTAGTACAGAATACATATTTTACAAATAATCAAAAAATTGTACCAAATTGGGATGGTCCAGGATAAATTTCCCTCTTCAAATTTACTTTTTACAGGTAAGAAATAATTTCCTGGACTAAAATAGCCATCATTTTCATCTAAGAA